CAAGCGAGATGGAATCGCGCAGCTATAGATTATCTTCTGACTTTTTCTTGCTAAATGATCTACTGGTAATATGACAATAGGTAGGTAGTAATATTATACTGCTTTTGTTATCATATCTTCTATGACAGAAGTCCAACCCTACTTTTACTATACTGATACAAATCTTATCACCTTGTGTTGCTCATTATTTGCCTACCTTTTATAATATATTGCTTTAACATATGTTAGGACCTCAGGACCTCTGACTCTTTAGTTCGCATCTAGAATGCGTCTCGACGAAATCAGCGATGCGTACCATACAATGGTTTTTGTACACATAACCATTATTGTCCGTCGGACAACATTGAGTACCATGATTTGAAATACTGGTACAGATGACGGTGGAGGGGACCAATAATTAATTTCTCGATGCATGATTACCGAGAAAAAAAATCAATACATGATTAATTTTAGATAGAAGCGATAAAAACTTATTTATAAACTTATTGAACAAAACATCGTCCCAGCCCTTAAGGACATTCAGGTTCATGGTTTTTTGTACTTGAGTGGATGAAAATGTTCACAAACATGAGAATGAATGTATTGTAAATACCACAACGTCTTTGCAATAAATAGGTTGCCTACAACCGCCGATCGGCCTGAGTCCCAGTGGGTCATTAACTCCTCGACCGTCCAAAAGTGAATTCTTTTTAGATACGGGCGATATTTATGCAAAGTATTTGTTTTCATTCAAGCGTTATGAAAATGATCTAGGTACTATGTGACAAAAAATGCAATTTATTCAAAAACTCAATATATCAAAACAAGGGACATAGTAGCTAAATAATATTTAATCACAGATTAGCCAAGTGCTTCAATAAAACTGTCAGATCAAGCTTAAAAAATCATGGCAGCATCTAAAGTATCAACATCAACAAAACTTTACAGCGTAAGGATGACTTTACCTTTTGCGTCAGATAATGGCAAGCTTCTGAAAAAGAGATCGAATATTAAAACAAAAACTTCATCTAAAGCTGGTAGGTTACTAAATGAAAAGCGTTATGTGCCCCCTAATTTCGGAAGGTTTAAGGTCTCTTGGCCATAATAAATGTCACTCACCTTTTCCTACGCATTCACGTATATCGACGACTCGCTCGAAGCAAGCAACACGCGGTAAAGCCTGTTAACCAAATGAAGTCTTCCTCAGAAAGCGCGTATAAACGGACGGACCGTTTTGGTAGCACTAGTAATCATTCCAGCGCCGACTACTTGATTGGATTCATCTGTTGTTAATATGGACACCACAAGCGGTAGTCGCGCTCAAAACAACAGGGAGGAATATTCATCTTTAACACACTCGCATTGGTAGTGTGTGGTAAAGCTGCAAGCCTTCATCGGAGATCATGCGGTCCTCAACATCGAATTGGATCAACAAGAGATAGCTCAACGCTCAGCAAATTTTGCAGCATATGAGCATGAATTATGAGAATTTCTATTCCAAAGCATACCGACGCCGGCTCCATCACCGCACCACAAGTGATGGTAACACCGTCGGTACACATGGAACGTCTCGTACAAATCAAGGTCAAAAACTTCCATGAGAACAAATCTAAAAATCATGCGTTTTGGCAGAGAGAGCAGACATCGCTATTCCGATGGCTTATATTCGTGATGACCGCTGTCAAGTGGCCTTCGCCATGTCGCAGTTAGACGGTCGTGCGAAAGATTGGGCGACGACATGGGAAGTCAACATTCCCATCTACTTCGCCACATTGCAAGAGTTGAAGAGGGTCATGGTATCAATATTCCTTCCTACGAATGTGACAATCCGACAACGGTCTAAGTTTTTGTCGTACCGCCATGACAACAGCGCATTACATGACTATGTACAGAAGCTCCGTGATGTTCGTCAAGCCAACCACTGGCAGAGGCGGTGATGGTCACTGTGTTTCTGGAAGGACGCACTCATGGTCCACCTACAACTGAAATCTATCACTAGATTCCGACCACTGTGGAAGATACAATTATAATGAGGACTAATGTCAGCATCACGCACGTGGTTACTCGGTCAGTCCGATGGAAGCGACGGCTGCCAATGGATCTTAGCGCTGCAACAGTCCGTATGCAGCGAATTCGCTGGTATGGATGTCAACAATTTGGTTACGTCCGCCGCGATATTTCTTGTCGGAGACGAACATCTGAATACGGTTCTCGGTGTAGTGGTTCCGAGCCACGTGGTATCAATATCACGAGGCGTTCAGGAGACGCCGGTACCCAGAAGACGCAGGGCGGTCTACTGGGGTAGTCATAAACTCTCGGGATTGTTGTGGTAGAATTGCTCATTAGGTTTCAGCCCTGGAAAGATCGTCTTGCACCTTTTCTTGGAATATATCAACGTATTCTTCGACAAGCCCATATACAAAAATTGCCCTTTGCTTGTCCCATGACTGCTCATCCAACGTTTCCTTTCATAATGCCTCAGTAGTATTGATGACATCGCCGACACCTTTATTGACGATCGCACATATCTGCGAAATTTCGCCTTTTGCCAGGCTACGCTTTAGCGTCTTCTTGCTCATGAATGGCGAGGAAAACAATTTTTTGAGTGAAATTAGAGGAACTTCTATCTTCATGTGATGGATGATATCGACGTCAACCTCTTTGTGATAGGCCACAACCTTATAGAAACTCGCTCGAAGTGACTCGTTTTCTAGCGCTCCCTTCATCGGTACGACTTGTACCTTGATTCTGTGTACGCAAAATACTTGACGGAAAACTCTTCTTGGTTGCTTTTTTTCTTCTCTTGGGATGGTTCTTCGCATCTAACTCCAATAGCCTTCATACTACCATCATCCATGGATTTCATGTCAATAGCAAAGGATTCAGTCTTTTGCGGCGCCGGTTAGTGTCGTTACTTTTGTCTTCTCGGTCTTGTCCTGTGAACAATGGGGCCATCGCACACCACGATATCTCTTGAGACATTGAATACTTCCTTACGAATAGAATACATCCATATCATTTTGTCCGTCATCATGCAGCTATATTGAGCGCTGCCCGCCATATAATGATGATCGTCATATTCATTCAGTCAATGCTAGACTGACATTGTTTTAACCATTGCATACCTAGTATGATGTCGAACTTATTGTCGATATCAATAAGGATAAACTCGTCTTCATCTCGAGAATTTTCATACTTTATTGCCGAGCAAGTGAATTGCTTTGGCATCTTAGCCGCAGATCTAATCACTACAAGCATGATCATTTCTCTTTGCACCTGGGCAGGCTATCACCATGCCCAGTCATAAGTTGCGCTCCGATAAAGTTGCTCGACGCAACAGTGTAAATCAAAACTCTTATTGGCTCTTAGACATCTACAAAGGCTTCTCGGACAATAAAATTACACTTTGCCCGGCACTTTTTTAGAGATACTGCATGTGCATCACGCACGTTGTGACAAGAGCTCTGTGTATCCACAGCATCCGCAGCACACTTCTCGCTTTCAGTGGAAAATTCCGCCCCTACTGGTTGTTTTCGATTTTTGCCCTTATGAGCATTCGGAATGACGACCTTTATTAACATCCACGGTTATCCAAACGAGGATCTTGTCTTTAGCCTACTCGGCAAAGACACTTTACAGTTCCGAGCAATATGCCCCCGCTTGCCACAACGGAATCACTTTCCATCGTTGCGAGAGCGCTCAATTGCAAGCATATAAATGCACGAGATGTTCATTTATCTTAGCCATCGCTTGAGGCAGTTGACCGACGCGTTTTTTGTCGTGATACAAAGCCGTTGAATCCGGCTTACTTGGTGCTGAACTCTTCTTGCATTACACGGTTGACGGTTTCATCCAGCGTCTTGGAATGCTAACGAAACAGTTGATTCCAAATTAGCCTATCGTTCAGACCGGCCAACAATGTTAATAGTTGGCTCGTCAACAATAATCGATGCTAAGCAGCGAGCACGCTGTCCATACGGGTGCGGGTCGTATCAATCGTGAAAAATCTTCACTAACTCGGCATGGGCACGAAACTCTCACTGTGGTGATTCAAACAGCTTCGGTAGCTTTATCTTGAAGTGTTCACTAGCTGATAAAATTGGTTGGATCATTCAAACACTCACTATACGCCCAACGTTTTGCATGATCCACAAGGTTGAACATCGCGAATGGCGTATGGTGCTAAGTGTCCAGCGGTTGTCTCATAGTGATTGCTGCATCCAGCTCCACAAACTATCGTAAGAGAGGCTCGTTTCTCCACCACGGCCTTAAGGTATCTTCAGCTTCGGGGCCATTGATCTGTATGAAGAAATTACGTTTGCCACCTGCTTCCGAGATTCCATAATCTCATGGTGCATGAATCTGACGGCCGCGTCCTTTTGGTCATCCTGAGAGGACGGCTGCAGTAAAATGACTACAGCAGCTTATCTGGTGACTTCTCACGCCCGCTCGAGTGTCATTCACCCATGTGAAGACAAGTAAGAAAACATCTTTCGTAGGCGCCTCCGTTTACGGTCCTGATGTACCGAATCGCACTCCAACTTTTTCATGCCGCTCTAACGAGGACGAGAGTATGATCCAAAAATCGATTAAACAACAAGCTTTTAAGCCACGTCTTTAAACTGAAATCAAAGTAGATGTAAAGACAAACAAAAACTTTCAAATGTACGAGGGCGCTATTCACAAGAATCTCTTCAAGCACAAATCACACGCTTGTGTGACGTGGAAGCGATATCCGGCGTGGAGAAAGAAGTAAAATTTAACGTATAGAGAAGACAACCGACTTGAGGCCTTAAGAGCAAAACTGCCACTGAATCAAACAAGGTGATGGTTGTTTTTGTAGAAGTGACACAAGCTGCTTCGAAACCAATCTGTGGAGAAGAAAATTTTCAAAATTACTGCTTTGAATTTTTTCCTTAGACTTCTCTCACGCATATACCTCCGCTTACTGTTCCTGCAACTGTGCTCAATGCGAATGTAGTTTTACTATACAATAATTATGGGACAGCTAAATTCTGAACAAAATTGATTTTCTTATTATAATTTGGTTGACTAATCCATGGATAATTATCCTGGCGAGGGTGAGAATAGCCAAAAAGGGTATAAAGTTAACCAGTGTTTTTCTATTGAATTGATCTTCTTTAGATTTCTTTTGACAGTTTTATAATTTAATGTCGTCATACTATAAAATTTGGCGGTACATTTACTTGGTTTTTTGGGCTCATCCATCATCTTAATAATCAACGCGGCGAGCAACTTCAGTCGGTTTATACCTTTGTAACGTGGTACGATGTGGGCAAAACTGATGCGACTTTCGTGCTTGCATAAGAAAAAAGCTGAGTTCCGGAGCCATATCCGGCTCGTCATCAGTGATCTGGACATCATCGTGAGTTTAACAGCGGATTGTCGCATTACTCCCAACCAGTGTAACGAACATGTAGCACGTGGCTCATATAGAGTTGAGCTTTGTGAAGGCCTCCTTCTTAATAAGCGGAAATGCCGTGTGCTGCCGTGTTATGCAGGATTAAGCTCCAGAGTTCAAGTCTACAGTCCCCGGTCCTAATTAAAACCCACAACGTGGGATCCTTTATGCCACGCCATTATAATTTCTAAGAAAGGTAGAGAGAAATATGAATTTGTGAAGAATGTAAGGCCCACTCTTCGCACTCATTAGTTTGCAAATGTCCTCAATGGAAGATTTACCCACGATAAGCTCAGCTCCTCATCCGATACTGACCGTCAATTTCTTAATAGCCCTCTCCGGTCAGCGATTTCTTGTAAACCTTCCTTGAGAAGAAATTATCAGCTCCATTAAAGATTCTGCCGGGGTAAGTGTGTGGCAATGCACAACAGATAGGTCCATCTCGGTCGCTTCGTTCAGAAGTGAAAGATCTTTCTCGCCACTTTTCTCCTACGATACTACCCCTGTCTTACTGCCCCTGTAGTGGGCCCGCTACACGGTAATGCTGACACAGCAGTACCGTTACAGTGTTATTTACTCATCATGGACTGGAGACTTCTATTGACTGCGATATCGGGAGTTTATCGGCCCTGACACAAGACAGACACAATCATTGCTTCCCTTTACTGTCCCGTCAAATGTATACTCTACAGATCACGACTGAAAAGTCTCTATTTTCCTTCTCAATAAAGATACACTCTGGATACCGCGACATTTTCACGGATCATCGACCCTTCTGCCTTCAGAGCTCTGCTCGAGTCACCTGGCTTTATTATTCCTGTCGACATCGGACGATTCAAGATCCTGAACGGAAGCTATAGCACCTGCGCAAAACTGCATTTACTTTGGCAGAGATGGGCTTGTGACTCACCAAGGATTCAACAGAAGGCAAGTGCGTAAAACCTATATTATCTAACATTTAGGGTGGTGGTTTCTAGGCACGCTATACCTAGGATAAGATCATTCTCATATTTCGATACAAGATAAGAGTACGTACAACGCAGTCAAGGTCCTGCAAACTCGCTTATAAATTCTGCATTGATTTCAACACCAATTCCCGGTCACAAGTCGTATGGATGTCGTATCCATATTCAGCAATTTCAATGCCTCCTCCTACTGAACTCTGTTATCGACGTACATGATAAATGACACGACGCTTCTGACCCAATAAGGTTTTTTCGCTGATTCAACAATGCCTGAGACGCTAATATCATCAACCAACGACCCTGGGGTATGTATCCCATCTCTCTTGTAGCGAGTCACTTCTTATTAAGTTGGATCTCATTAACCTCGATCTCGATGCGATACAGCAAAATCCAGATCTTTTCTAGGGCGTCAACTGGAGCTCAACTATTCCTGCGAAAGCTCTTCAAACGGTTCTATGTGGAGATCGACTATTCTCACCTCTTTTACGAGAGTGAGGGGGCATGTTAGCTGCAACGGGGTGGGGTTACACGTACCCGGGTATACAGGGCTGGGCCACACAAGATGGTATGACCGTACAAAGATGTGGATTGCACAAGTTGGTGTAATCAGGCAATGGTGTGGCTACACCGTAACAAGAAGCCACAACGTGGCGGAACTGCCAGTAGTCATGCATGTTAAAAATGTTTTACTATTGAATTAGGAGATTCTCAGGTTTGAGATATCGGCGGCTCTGCCGCAAATAAAACAAATGACTACAGTTTCAATTTTGAATCGAAGAGTGTATCTGCCTTGGTTAAGATTCTAGGTATTCTTGGAGGTAGCGGATTGCGATCCGCTACACTCGTACTGGTTCTGGTATAAGACGTAAGGTCCATCACCTTTTTAAGCTTTCTCTTAGCAAAGAGCTCAGGCAGCTTCGCTGCATTAGTCGCAGATGTTTCATACTCCCCGCGGATGTAACATCTGCGAATACCACAGAGCTTTCTGATAGTCATGAACTATTTCTTCCTCTTCAATATTGCTGAGGCCCATCGCCCCTGGTGTGCGCATTGTGCCCCCACTTCCTGTAATCCATTTCATTTAATGTAACACTCACTGGTATAAGATTCATCCGTTCGGAGACCTACCGTGAGGATGGTAACCGTTACCGTCTGCAAAAGACACTCTGACGATTATGTAGCAATAAAGGTTTCTTGGCCCCGCCAGTACTCGGTGTGTCATTTTACCAAGAATTATTTGTCATTCTGGCAACTTTCCCTTTTTCGAGTATATCCACCTCTTTCTTTGTCAGAATACATTGGAGTTTGCAATATGACTCATCGTTGCTCCTCAGACGTTTTAAATATCTCCATGAAAATAATTCGGCCACAACCTAAAACAAGAGACTTTGCCGTATTCCCCATTGTAAAAGTTAGACTGAAGTTTCAGCTGTAAAATGCCCCTGTATATAATATACTTTTCACCTTACACGTGTACAATTTGTTAATCCGTTCGACCTGCTCGACCGCCAAAACCTCGATAAAGCATCAATTCTGATTTTTGGCCGTATCAGAATGACATTGTGGGCGAAAGTATTTTAGAAAATTCGCTACAAATGGGGGGCTGGAAAACGACAAGTTATACTCATCTAGCAGCCAATGACATGAGTATCAAAAAACAGTAGGTTGCAGCTTGCTTTTCTTAACATTTTGAAACATTTACTCAAGCAATAATATTTGACTTGAAAATTCTTATCATAGATGAAAGTTGTCAAGTCAACTCAATCAATTTTGGTACGAATTACTGCAAAAATTATCGAAATTATCAAGTGACTACAGAATTAGCGTGAGACTTCGATATGAAAAAGGCGACACTATCAAGTGTCTGGAGTGATGCTTCACCAGCTTTTATCAATGCACGTGATGCAGCGAGGCTGCCGTAGCTAAGCGCTTGAGGAAGCGAACTTTAGGTCACCGACCTTTCGTTCTTTACAAGAACCAAGTATGAGGCAATCCGCTGACTCCAAGAGTAGTTATTGTCTTCTTAAGGTTACTTTATTATCCTAATTTTAAAAGCTTCGATTTTCCGAAATATATATAGTAAAATCTAAATACATGCAAAACTACCGTATTCTTGTTTGGGTGTGGTCACACCATGCACATCTCGTGTGACACACACACACCTGAATAGTTGTGACGTCATTTATGCACATTCCGCGGTGTATCTCAACAGAATGATCAGGTACTGCTTCAAAACTAGCCTGTGCAGAGAAAATCATTTAATTTCTTAGACGCCTTATTTCTTTGGTCTTCTCTTACTTATATGCCTATACCTTCCATTTCTGCAACTATGTTCAAATCGAACGTAATTTATTATACAATAATTATTGGATACAATAGCTGAAGTCTGAACAAAACTGATATATTTAAAAAAAAATGATTGACTAATTGACTAATTCTGGTGGGGAGAACAGCCAAAAAGGGGATGGGGCAAACAACGGCTTTCCTTTCAAAATGATGTTATTTAGATTAAATTTGACTGTTGTACTATTCGATATCGTCATACTACGAAATTTGGCGATACATTTACTTGATCTCGGGGCCCAAATCCATCATTATATGAATCACCGCGGTGAGCAACTTCTGTCGGTATCAACTGCTGTTACGT